TGTTGGGGGAGAGGGGGTAGGCGGGGTGAAGGGCGGGGGGGTGGGGGGGGGGGGTACTCATGTTTTGCATGCCGTTGTCATTAGACCATTGACATCGCATCCCTACAAAGCCGGGACGGAGCGCGCCGGGTTCTCACCGGACGACGACGACGGGGGGCTACTCGTGTTCTTGCGTGCCTTCGTTACGGTTAGACCATTGACCACGCGTCCTGTCGAGAGAGGACGGAGCATGTTTCCCACGGGACCGATCACCGATGGTCAACCGCCCCTTCCTACCTTGCCAAAGGTGGCTCAAAACAACTTTTCCCTACCCTATACATATATCCTATCGATATCACTTCCCACCCTTTCCGTTCACTTCCTATGGCACGGGTGGGGGGCCCACAAGACATTTGTATCTATTTTCCATACAGCAATTTGTCCCCCATGTACAAGGCCGCTGTTAGATAAAGACTTATCCACTATGCTACACAGTCAACGTTGACTCAGTGGTCTAGTCGCACGGGTTCGAATTCCAGCTGGATCACTTTTGAAGGACCCTAACTACTTTATCAGTAGCGTGTGGCGAGGGGTTCGGCCCCGGAGATCCCTATCACCCCATGACCCAGCTGGGAGGCTAAGAGCCTACGAGTATATCTCTTGTTAGATAAAGACTTATCCATTATGCTACTCAGTCAACGATGACTAGTCTAAAGGTGTAACTTTATCTTATAGCCGCATTGTGCCAAGAGGTTGACACCCAATATGCTTACCGTAGGTGACACCACAAAATACCACACCCCCTGGACCCTTTTTCAAAGCTTGACTTACTCCGCAGACGAAAGAGTGACAGTGCCGAAAACGGTGGCGTTGGGACCATTCCCCCGAGACCTTTCCGACAACGCACAAATACGACTTGGAGCTTTTTGAAAATCGGTCTAGGGGGTGTGGTATCTTGTGTCATGTCACCTACGGCATATAGCCCTCTGGGCGATGGCATTAGAAATACCCGACGCAGGGCCGATCAAACCTTGCATACTCCTCTGGTCGATGGCGGCGACGGCGGGGTAGGGGAGGGCGGCGAAGCCGCGATGAAGCTTCTTCCTCCTCCTCCTCCTCCTCCTTCTTCCGGGCCTTGGTCGTTCGGCTGAAGGGCGGAGGTAGTCTCACCACCGTACCCGGTAGCGGCACTAGAAGGACGGCCGCCATGATAACCGTTCAACGGACAAAAAAAAAAAAAGCGCACGACAATGGCGGTTGGTTCAAGCACCAAACAGTGGCAAATACATACCCACTGGACTCAAAAGGTGCGCCTCGTTGGGAGGCAAAAGAAGTGAGCATCGCCAGAAGGTTGTCGAGGAAAACAAATCCCAAAAGGGAGGCCGTTGAATGACGGTTTCGGTTTCTGAAAGGTGCACTTCTTGCTGTCCGCTTCCCAACACCGCAACCAACAACAGCAGCAACAGCAGCAGCAACACAACAAGAACAAGAACAAGAACAGGAACAAGAACAAGAACAAGAACAAGACAAAAACAAGAACAATAACAATAACAACAACAAGAACAAGACAAGAACAAGACAAAAACAAGAACAAGAACAAGAACAACAACAACAACAACAACGAGGGAGGTAACGCCAAGCACGAGTCACAACGAATACTTCTAGCAGATGCGAAATACTTACACTTGCATGCGTTCACTCACTCACCTCAACGCTACACCCTCGGCAGCACCCCCTCCCCCCCCTCCCCGCCCTCCCCTGCTGCTGTCGGCACCCGCCGCCTCTTGCAAGAAGAAGGGAGCAACCTCGCCGTCGCTCTCGCCACCGCCCCCCCCGCCCCCCTCCGTCCGCCTTTGCTGTCTCGCCGCCTCCGCTGAGCCCGCCGCAAATCTCAGCGGCCCGGCGGCTTGATGAGGTGTGTCGCCACTGACAGCCTGCCGCGTCGAGAGGCGCGCGCGAGGCAGGGCCGGGTCGGGTGGGCATCAAAGATATTGTGTGTATGTATTTAGAGCTTCTGCGTGAAAAGGCGAATCCTCCAGAGGGACGTGTGGTTAGCTATAAAAGAGTCGTCATCATACCACGGCTGCCACCGCGCCCCCCGAAAACACACACTTCGACGAAGATTTCGGTCTTTCTTTTCGAGGAGGGTCGGGTGGGCATCAAAAGGATGTTTTATGTATGTAGAGGTTCTGCGTGAAGACTGAATCATCCACCAAAAAGGGGTGTGGTTTGGTACGTGGGGGTCGTTACGATGCCACGGCCGCCACCGCGCGTCCAACAAACACCCTTGCCCAAGACTTCGGTCGTTCGTTATTATTATACTATATGATGACAGTACTTGTCGTGTTTGTTGTTGTTGTTGTTGTTGTTGTTGTTGTCTTCATGTCAAAAACCGTTCCGGTCTCCGCTCAGTACCTTCTGAAGAACTACAGTGGCGAATCCCGCCCCCCCGCGGGCCTCCCCGCCCCATGCGGGCAACGTGTACATCTCGCAAGCACACAATAAATAGCATGCAACTACTGTTGTTCAAGCTAACGCCAAGCGCCGGAATGTGATCATTTGTGCCCATCCCTACAATTAGGTAACCATGGTGCAGTCTGCGGTCCTCGATAGCGATACCCTCAATAGCGGAATGCCCTCTACAGCGGCGCCGAAATCGCGTGGCACAAATGCATTTCTCAGTGCTGCCCTGTTGTATAGCGGCACCAAAACCTCTTGTCGCTACCTACCGCTAATTGAGGACCGCCGGCTGTATGTACGAAGGTAGCTTCGGCATTCTCGTTCGGAGCCTTGTGTGTAAGACTCTCCCAGTACACGGATTTGTCATGTTTTTCTTTTGGGTTCGTTGAAAAAAACAACAAAGGTTCGCTGCTGGTCTGTTCGCGTCAGAACACACATCAGCTGGTGTGTGAGAGCTGTTGAGCTTGGGAAACGTCATACCGCAGTAGCTGGCAGTCAGCTGTGGTGCTTCTACTACGTTCATTGTCATCTTGCGTCACCCCGCTTCATGACACTGCTGTGCTCTCTTGAGCCCATTCCAGAGGCACCCCTTGTACAAAATACAGCAGGGGCGTCTGAGTTTCAAACGCGTTGTTGGGTTTCCAAAAAAAAAATACCAGGCAATCGTCGTGTTGGTTCGGTGCGATGTCCTTCACAAAAAGTCGCCCCCAAAGCACTCCCGCGGAAGAAACAGCAACACAAAAAAAATGCCTCCGCTGACGCTAATGGATTCACCGACAACGCCATGCATGGAGAATTGACAGTGGCCGAGGCCTGGTGTCACGTTTATTTTTACGACCATTTGTCCCGGACTCTACAACCTGTGGACAACTGTAGACAAAACAGAGACGGGTTCGGTGTGCTAATAAATGCTACTCCGCCATGGTCGCAATAAAAATAACAATAAAACGTTGCACCACGCCCAACCTCAGAGGTCATCGTCGTCAGCTCCGCCGAATCCTCCCCTCTTTGGTGCTGTTGGTGCTGTTGGTGCTGGTGTTGGTGTTGCTGCTTCTTCCTGTTGCCTGACACCGGTGGCGATGGTGGCGGGGAGAATGCCACCTCCTCTTCCTCGTCGTCGTCGTCGTCGTGATCATCGTAGGCGTCTTCTTGCGGAATAGGAGCAATCACCTGACACGTGTGATACAAGCAAGTGTCTTTTAGTGCTCTTGCATGTTTGCATGAAGACTTCTTCTTGCGGAATAGGAGCAGTCACCTAACACGTGTGACGCAAGCAAGTGTTTTTATTGCTTCTTCCTGCTTTGCTTCTTACATCTTGTAATTAATGATACTTCTTGCGGAATAGGAGCAATCACCTGACACGTGTGATGCAAGCAAGTGTTTTTAGTGCTCTTACATGTTTGCATGAAGACTACTTCTTGCGGAATAGGAGCAATCACCTAACACGTGTGATGCAAGCAAGTGTTTTTATTGCTTGTTCCTGCTTTGCTTCTTACATCTTGTACTACTAACAATAGTTCTTGCGGAATAGGAGCAATCACCTGTCATGTGTGACGCAAGCAGGAGTTTTTGTTGCTTCTTGCATCATGCTTGTATCAACACTTCTTGCTTCTTTACTACGTATATGGACCATTTTTGCAGAATTAGCAGCAATCACCTAACATGTGTGATGCAAGCAAAGAGTGTGTTTTTAGTTTTTAGCTTCTTGCCCACTGCTTGTATGAACACTTCTTGCTTCTTACATATATACTTGTATTAAGACTTCTTGCGGAATAGGAGCAGTCACCTAACATGTGTGATGCAAGCGACTGTTCTTACTGCCTGTTACCGCTTCTTGTACTAACACACTAACACTTCTTGCTTCTTGCATACTTGCATTAGCACTTCTTGCGGAATAGGAGCAATCACCTGACATGTGGGATGCAAGCAAGAGTAAATATTCTCGTCCAACATACTTACTTGTTTCCTCTTATTTCTACCTACGATTTTTCGCAAGAAAAAACAGGAGAAAACAAGCATTCCGCCCGGGAAGGCAAGACGAAAACCCAACATGTTTACCAAGCAAAGGCCGAGAGAACAAAGGACCGTCGTAGATTTAGATTTCGTAGATACATGTGGCGGACACATTCGGCCGTTACGCGGATTTGATCATAGTGAAAATGATTTTGAGGCCGTGAGCATGAGGCGGACCGATTACAGCCAGATACATATATAGCATACTTCTTTTTTAGAAAGTACAAGCATATTTTGCAAGGGTGTGTTCGGTAAGGTACGGGTACGCTCGGTAAGGTATTGAAAAAGTACCGAAGCATACCGAGAATTTCGGTAAGGTATTGAAAAAGTACCGAAGTATACCGAGAATTTCGGTAAGGTATTGAGATATTACCGAAGCATGTACCGGTACCCTCGGTATTTATCGAGGGTATACCGAGATGTTCGGTAAGGTATTGAGATAGTACCGAAGAGTACCGAGAATTTCGGTAAGGCATTCAAAAATTACCGAAGTATACCGAGATTTCCGGTGTGGTATTGAAAATTACCGAAGCATACCGAGACGCTCGGTATGGTAAATACCGGCGGTATTTACCGGCGGTATGCCTCGGTCGAAACGTCCCTATCGCCAGCAGCCAGTCTCTTCCTAATATAATACGCATACCAATACGCATACCATGCTGCTCCTCCGCCGCTACACCATCCATGTCAGAGGCTCTGCTGTTCTTCACCTGCAAAGCAGCGGTTGGTTGCGCTTGGCTACAACTGACGCATCAACACATGTAGTCATACACTTGATGCCAATCTTGGTGCCTTGAGACTACAGCTTGCCTCACTGCTCATGGTGCTCGGTATACTACCGCGTGTACCCAGACAGGCACGGTCTTGTGATGTTCGGTATAGGGTGCAGCAGTTGTGTGTTTCGATGTTCGAAATTCGGGAGGGATACACAGTTTGTGTGGTGAGTGGAAAGAGTAACGTCACAGTGTCGGTAGGGGTATAGGGGTATGGACTCCATACTCCATACCCCTACCGTATGGAGGGCTGTAGTACCGGTACCACCTCGGTATTTTGTGACGGGTGTACGGTACCCTCGGTATTTGTCAAGGGTATACCGAGATGTTCGGTAAGGCATTGAGATATTACCGAAGTGTACCGAGAATTTCGGTAAGGTATTGAAAATTTACCGAAGTATACCGAGAATTTCGGTAAGGTATTGAGATATTACCGAAGAATGTACCGGTACCCTAGGTATTTATCGAGGGTATACCGAGATGTTCGGTAAGGTATTGAGATATTACCGAAGCATGTACCGGTACCCTCGGTATTTGTCGAGGGTATACCGAGATTGTTGGTAAGGTATTGAAAAATATCGAGAATTTCGGTAGGGTATTGAGATATTACCAAAGCGTACCGAGACGCTCTGTATGGTAAATACCGGCGGTATTTACCGGCGGTACGCTTCGGTAGTACCTTACCGAACACATCCTTGATATTTTGTAGGGCGAAAGACGGAGATCGTCGTAGATTTCGTAGATGTACGTGGCGGACAGATTCCAGCCGCTGATATGGCACACTGCTCACGTGCACCGTCGACAGCTTGTGGCGTGATGATACATACATAGCCCATGGCCAGTCTTAAGGAGGTGGGGAGGGAAGAGCGGCCAAAGCCGAGGTCGAGGCAAAAGGTTGTGTACTAAAAAAGAAGGAAGAAAAGAATGGTTGGGTGCAAGACGGGAGATTGGCCCTGCGTAAAGAGCGGAACACCTAAAATGGTTGATGGACGAACATCCTTTGAAGCCTGCTGAGAGCAAGCGGCAAAAATGATGCGACTTCCTCTGTGCCTCTGTGCCTTTCATGCCCACAGATAGCGGACACACTGATGGTGGATCACCAACACCTTCCAACCCAACTACAACACATGTACAGCCGTAGTACAACCGTCGTTGCATCGGAACAAATGGTGCTTGAGAAACCTCCTCCCCCAACGCTGCGGAGTACAGCCGATGTGTACTCCAAAAATACGCGCCCGCCAAACGCCAAGCGCTCAACCACAGAGGTTCTTCTAAAGCCTTCAGCCTTTTCTCACTCAGACCTTTTGGAAAAGCCGACCACCACAAGTACTGCACGTGATCTTGCCAGCAGGAGCAAATGTAGTGGGGTGTTATCTCACGTCATGCAATAGACTATCTCCGAAGAACAGAGGAAACAAAACGAAACACAGCGAGTCTTGCTTACCTCTCCCACGTAGGACGCGGCTTCAACGGCTCTCGACAGCCCCTGGCCAGCAAACCCGGCCCCCTTCCCCGCAATGCCGGTAACAGTCCCCCACATGGTTCGCCTCCCGCACGCTGTGTCGGTGCTGGGTGGTGCTGGGAGTTGGTGTTGGTAGTGTAGTGTCAAGTGTGTGGTGGGGGCCCAAAAACCAAGAACTCATACTATTTCAACCCCCTATTCACACGCTCCATGTGTCTGCGTGCCCCCTCCTCAGCCGCTGCTCGTACGAATCCTCAACAACAACCAACCTCTGATCTCTGCGTTTGCCGCCGGCGCACCAGAGAGAACGATGCAGCAGTTGCTCAGAGCGTTGGCCGCGGCCTCGGCCTTGTTCGCCTCCGGAAGCGCGCGCGCTTCGCCGGGGACGGCAGGCGCGGCGGCGGTCGGTGCGGGCGGCAGCAGGAGGAATGCTTGGACGCAGAGGCGCCAGGTGTGTTGGTGCATCAAGCTTGTTGCGACACGTGTCTCATCCCATCCCCACCTATAGCAACTACGGAGGTTACGTGTTGGCTGCTGCCTGCGCTCCCCCGCGCACGCCTTGCTTTTGCCCTTGCCAGCAGTGGCTGCGAAGTATCCTCTGTGTGTGTCAGGGGGGGGTCGTTGGCAACAGTACCAATCTGGCTGCATTTTGCGGATGGGTGTTGATCGGTACAAGCAGGACCATGTTCAAACAGGATGATGATTTGCAACCCCGCTGTGGTTGCTTTGCCGTCTCCCAACATGTGTCTGGCTATGTATGCTAGAGCGAGAGCCGCCTTGCACCGCACGCACCCTCGCAAGCTATACTCGTTACTCCAGAGTAGGTGCATCGTCGCGCGCAATTTGTCGCCATCGGACCGTGGAAGTTTTTGATGTTCATGAAGGATATATCGCCGTTGGGCGGCACGTCTCTCCCGCAATTCTCACCTTCGAGAACTTGGACTACAGCAGCAGACTACGTGTTGTGATGTTGTCCCTGCAGGCTCGCCAGCCGTAAAGCGGTTACGACGACGACGACCTTCTCCTCGCGACGTGACGGTGCCATCGTTCTGATTGGCGCCCAATTTTTCCCCTCCGGGCATGGAAGCTTTTGTTGTCCATGAAGATATCGCCGTCGAGTAACAATAGCTTTTGTTGTCCACGAAGATATCGCCGTCGAGTAACAGTAGCTCCTGCAAGTCTCACCTTTGAGAAATTCATGTTGTGATGCTGTGTGGGGAACATGATGTGCTGCGTTGTGTTGTGCGATCATCGCCAAGTGGTGAGCGGTTACGACGACGACCGGTTGGATGGGTGACAGACAGATTGCAGTACACCCACATGAGTGCCTTCCGCCGCTCCATGCGCATATCTATTCCTGTACATTACAGGACATGAAACGCCAACTACACACACAAGTCACCTTCATTCACGACAACATGCCGCGTAAATTCCAGCCGGTTGTTCTCCCACTATTTATTTTTATTTACCTGCTTGTGAAGACTGAGACTTATGCACATCCCCTTCGAATGTGGCTGCACGTATCTCAAACGGGTACTTTTTTCTGTAGTTGCAAGTGCATTTCATTACTTATTGACATGAATATCCACGACAACAACAGCACTTGCAGTCTTCAGCCGTCTCGCGAGCGAGAGCCGCCTGGCATTGTTCCCGTGCACTTGAAAGCTTGTACTTCCTGGAACACCAAACACAAACAACAAGTACACTTCATCCATGAAACCTACTGTATCCCCAACGGCAAGTACACTTCATTGACGACATGATTAAACCCCCAACGACGACGACAACAACAACAACAGTAACAACAGCAACAACAACCAAAAATAGCAACAACATTTGCAGCCGAAGATTAAGATTGAGCTGGGCCATGCGCCGCCGCCGCCTTCAATAGCATCGTCCGGATGCACTCTTCAAACTTGCGCTTCATGAAAACGCCGAACACCAACAAGTACGCTTCATTGACGGCATGAATTAACAGTCCCTGTTACAAGTGCCGGTTGAAATAGTACCGGTGTTTTCGGTATAGTGCCGGTGCCCGGTATAGTGCCGGGGTTCTCGGCGGGCACACACTGAAATTCCAAGTCATTTCTCAATACTTCGAAAAAGTGTCGATACGGTAGGAGTATAGACAAGCAATATCGGTGAACTTTCTACGCACATACCGGCACTAACCAGCTAAACAGGGGCCTCTACCGCTGTATCCCCCAACGACGATAATAACAACTGCAGCCAAAGGTGGAGCTGGACGATGCGCCGCCGCCGCTGCCCTCGGCCGTCTCGCGGGCGACGAGCGGCCTATCGTCGTGCCTGGCCCTGAGGGGGGGGAGCACCGATAAGGGGAAGGCGGACGCTATCGACGGCCCGTGCATCGGCATCGACTTGGGAACGACGTACAGGTAGGTGTGCGTTTTTTGTCATCTCCTGCCGTAGTGTAACTTCCTCTTTCTCTCCTCTTTTTGCCTTTCGCAAGGAATCCAACTTGTTTTTGTTGTTTAAATTTTGAAATTGTGCATTGCAACCGTGCTATTGTAGCGTACGAATGCAAGTTGTACCGCGGGAGGGGTGGCACCGTAGGGGGCCTCAGGGGGCGTTTTAAACAACAGCTACTACTTCGCTTTCAAATTTCCAAATTTCCAAAGGTACTCGATTTGCTGCGGAGGAAACACATTTAGAGACTTGGAAAGTTGGAATTAAAAAACAGCTGTTTTTAAAACGGCCCTGAGGGGGAGGCATGCTTCTGCGTGACGACGGATAAGAGCACGTGCCTACTGCTGTAGGTTGCATAAGATATCACACCCCCTGGGCCGATTTTCAAAGCTTAATTGCTCGGCTGGGAAAGCAGTGACGGTGCCGAGAATGGCGGAGTTGTAACCGTCCCGTCGAGAGCTTTCCGAACACGTATCGTTTGCCTTCGGCATTCTCTTGGTCGTGTGTAGTAATCGAGCTTTGAAAATCGCTCCAGGGGGTGTGGTATCTTGTGCAACCTACAGCATCCGGCAGAAATCCTGGGAGCGCTGATTGAAGCGATGGGTTAAAAAACATACAGCCAGATCCGAACGGCAGCGAGAGTGCTGCTGGGTTGTGTGTGATGTGCCCCAGTTATATCAATCATGAAGTAGTTTTATTGCTGGCATCCTCGTGTAAACGAGACAGCTGCAAAAGGTCTACCATCGAAAATATGCACACCGAGGTTTGTCTCGTCAAGCCACTCTGCTTATCACCCACCCCGGCTGTCACGTCCTCATACATGTGTTCACGGTAAGTACGTTTCCGGAAAGTTCTCAACGAGACGGTTCGAACACCGCCAGTCTTGTTGTGGCATCGCCACTTTCTGCCGTGGAGCAGTACAGTAGTCGAGCCTTGAAATTCGGTCAAGGGGGTGCGGTATCATATGCAACCTACTGTACGAAGACCCCAAGGGGGGGGGTGGTATCTTCTGCAACCTACTGTACGTAGACGCCAAGGGGGGGGGGGTATCTTCTGCAATCTACGGAACGGTACAAAAAAATTGAGAAAAGCCTGACCGAAAAACGTAGTGGTCGACGTGCGTCCA